CATAAATTAATTTTTAGAAACGTTCACGACGTGTCAGGAGACAGGGGCAACGCCTCGAAAATACCGCGTAAAAAAAAAAAAAAAATTTCCTTATTTCGTAAAAAAAGAAAATTTATTTATTTTTTTTTTCACGCACGCACTTTCTTTTTTCGACTAACTAATTTCAGGCTTTCGACGGATCGAAAACCTTAAAACGGTAATAATAATAATAATAATAATAATAATAAAAACTGTGATTTTTCACAACATATCAAAAGCATTAGACTAAGAGATAGCAGGAGATACGAGAGTCAACCAATTCAAGAGGGAACATAAAAATTCTCCCAGACCCCACGCATAATGTGTTTACGCGTGTGTGTGTGTGTGTATACATATACATATGCTCTCTCTCACGCACATCATCATCATCATCATCATCATCATTCTTTTTGACTCTCCGTTCGAGAAGAGAAAGATTAAAAATAAAAAAAAATTGTTTTATTATTATTATTATTATTATTATACATTATCTGTTAGCCGTTTATTATTATTATTATTATTATTATCGTTTACTTTTGTATTTATCAAGGTTACTTAAGGTTACCCAAGCATAAATATATTTAAAAAAAAAAAAAAAAATTAATTAATTATAAACTGGACTTGGTGGTATTATTATTATTATCATCATCATCATTATTAGCATTATTATTATTATTCTCGAAAAAGCGAGCGTGATTGAAAAAAAAATTGTTTGTATGCAAACAAACGCTTAGAAATGTGCATAGTGAAAACCATTACGAATCCATTTTGTCTTTTTATACACTAATTAAAAGTGAAAAAAAAAAAAAAATTACATACAATCGCCAATTTCCTTCACGGCAAGGTTCTTTTCCAAACACACGCACACGCACACGCACACGCACACGCACACGCATGCACGCACACGCACAAAATATCTGTATCGTTTTAACAAAAAAGAGAAAAGAAACAAAAGGATGAAAAAAAAAAAAAAAAGGTTTCGTACACGATTTTTTGTGTTAGGAATTTTTTTTTTTTTTTTTTTTTTATAATTTCAGGTACGTTGTGTGTGTAGTATTAGTCTATTTTAACGTTAAAACAAATTCCATCGTTAATTGTATTTCTTTTTTATATGGAATTTTATGTTTCCCCCCTCCTCCTCCTCCTCCTCCCCGTCTCCCTCCCCCCGTGTAATCTTATCAATGTTATTTTTCAATATTTCTTTTTTTTCCTTTTATCATTTTTATTTCTCTCTCTCTCTCTCTCTCTTTAACAATTTCTTTTTTTCTAAAACCACTTCACCGTTTTATTATTTCCCACACCGTAAAAGAAAACCCCTCCTCTCCCCCCTCTCTCTCTTTTTGTTTTTTTTTTTTTTTAAATTTAATAATTTTAATTTTAGTTATTTGAAATTACATAGAACGGTAACGGAAAAAGAAAAAGAATGTGGGAAACGGAGAGGTAGGGGGAGGGAGGGAGGAGGGGAGGAGGAAACGAAAAAAAAAAAAAACAAGAGGAGTAAAAAGGTTTTAAAACGCTAACAAACCTCAAAAAAGCGGTTTATAACTAAAATTAAATTACAAATGAAATTACATTCTTTAGTTTTTTTTTTTTTTTTTTTTAAAAGAAATTGTTCAGTCGGAAAGGAAACCGATGAAAAACCTTCCTTTACGAATATACATCCTGAGTAGTAACCGAAAATTATACCCCGACTATTATTACACGACTTGAATTGTGTTCATTATTATTATTATTATTATTATTATTTAATAAGATGACCTGAAAATTATATTATTGAGTTCTTTTCTTTCCCATCTATAAAAACAAAAAATGATTGTTTTTCGTATTTGTGTGTGTGTGTGTGAGTGCGACCAAAGGACCCAACTTTGTGTTGTTAACGTAAAATGCAAAGAGAGAGAGAGAGAGAGAGGGAAAAAACATGAGGTCTGCAAAAAAAACAATTTGTTTTGAGTGCCTTCGAGGTTTAAAATAGGTTTCAACGAAAAGAAGTAGGTATTTTTAGGAAGAGACACAAGAGAGAGAGAGAGAGAGAGAGAGAGAGAGAGAGAGATTTATTTTTTCATCTCTCTTCTTAAAAAAAAAAATTGTAATTTGAACGCGATCTTATTTCCTGACCAAGAAATGACCGGATGCGAATTACAAATACTCGAAAATATCATTACGAATTTCTTGATTCACGATTTCAAAAAAAAAAAAAAAAAAACTTGCTGAAATAGCAACGAAATGAAATCTCGTACGTGAGAGACAGAGATAGAGAGAAAGAGAGAGAGGGGGGAGGGGGGAGGGGGGAGAGAGACACCTGAGAAATAAAACACCTGAAAATCCAACAACTTTCCATTTCATTTTAAAAAAAAACAAATAAAGTAAAATCCTGTAACAAATACCTGACAACAAAAAGAAAACGATTTCTTTTTCGAACCTTAAAACTAAAGAAGAAGAAATCATCTTCGATAAGTACCTAGGTAGCCTAAAAGTATCCAAGTACCTAAAAAAAAAACACAAATCCACATACATACACATCAAAGCGTGTCTAACAAATCGAACGAAAAAAAAAATTTATATTTTCTAAATCCACATTTTTCTGTCTTTCCTTATTACGCCCCTCCCCTCTCCCTTCCACCCAATCTCCCCCCCTTCCCCCCGATAAAATACTAGAATTCGATAAATAAATAAATAAATTCTTCAAACCATTCCACATTCGGCACTTTTCATAATTACAGACTACAAATTTGCTTGGGTAAAGAAATGAAAGAGAGAGAGAGAGAGAGAAATATATAATAATTTGTTAGAATCAATAAAGGATGGATGAAAATTCTTTTTCATTATTTTCCTCATCGCTGTTGTCGTCGTCGTCGTCGTCGTCGCGTATCACGTGACTAACTTAAAAATTTCGTCTCGTTCGTTATTGAAACATTTAAACGAAATAAAAAAAAAAAAAAAAAAAAAAATTTCGCACACGAATAAAATAATATCCGTTAACAAATCGAAAAAAAAAAATTTTTCGAATCGAATTAATCGGGGAGGGGTGGGGGGTCACCAAACCGCAGACGATATTATTTAAACAACAACGAAAACACGTTTTCAAATTAATTTCAATATTATTATTATTATTATTATTATTAATAATACATTTACTCAACATAAACGAAATTTTTTTTCTTTTGCAATTATCATCATTATTATTATTATTATTACTTTATGATTTTTGAGGAAAAAGAGGAAGAAAAGGGATTATGATGATTGGATAGTTTAAAAAAAAAAAAAATATCATTACACGTGGTAGTGGTGGTGGTGGTGGTGGTTGTGATGGCGGATTCGAATAATAATAATAATAATAATTTTTTTTAACGTTTACTAAATCAATAATTTGTGGCGCCATAATAACCAGACTAAGGGTCGAATGCAACAAAACTTTTCAAATTTATATATAGGCAAAAATAACGTGAGAGGTTGTACAAACAACAAACAATCAAACAAACAACACTTCGAATAAGCAAATTAAAAATTAATTAATTTCCTCCCCTCCCTCCCTCCCCCCACGTACAAGATTTAAATTTAAATTTAAATAATTAATAATTTATTTATGTTAATAAATTAAAATTTTTCGTTTTTTTTTTTTTTTTTTTTTTTTTTTTTTTTTTTAACGACATTGGTACGAAAAAAAAGTGGCACGAGATGTAAAATTAATAACTGACGAATTATCGAAAAAGGCAACACGACGTTTGAGCTTTTTCTTCCTTCCCTCCTTCCTTCCTTCCTTTTTTTTTTTTTTACTTATTAATCTTGGAATAATGGCTACATGACATTACTAATTGCTTTTTTTTCGAATAAAAAATTACTTTAATTGAACCGAAACGATTATTTTTTCCCCATTTCTAATGTACGATAATAATTTTAAATAAAGTTAAAATGATATTTAAACAAAATTAATAAGTAAAATGATTAATTACAAATTACATGAAATTTCCGTTTGATTTTGATTTTTTTTTTTTAATTACGTTATTGATTTAGATTACTTATTATCGTGCAATTATTGTATAATTATTAACGATAAAAGTTTTTTATAAACTTTGAAAAATAGTTTTAACGACTTTAACGAATAATTCCTCCTGACTTTCATTAGGGAAAAAAAGCCAGTTTTGAATTTGATTAAGTTGTGGGTTAATATTCTTACTACTTTTAAACCGTAATTAATTAATTTAAAAATGTTTAATAATTCATACCTGCTTTTCCCTGATATGTAAGAGATATTAAAAACACTGTAACTCGCCAAATTCCCATGACATCTATAAGAATGCACTTCATTAATTAACAAACCAAAAAAGACATCATCTCGTGATCACTAACGGAACGTGTTTGCCCGGTAAATGAAACTAACAGATGTAGGCAATGAATTCTTTTTTTTTTTTTTTAACAACGTTGCCAAGTTTATTATTAATTTTCTACTTACACGATAATATATACAAGGCTAATGGGTGTCTGTTGATAGGGTTTTGACAAGCGAATTGGAAAATTAATCAGAAATAATTAACGTATTGATTTAATTGTAAAAAAAAAAAAAAAAACATGGAAATTAAAATTTGTTTTATATTTTCGGTAGAGAAAATAATAATAATAATCTTTTTTTTTACGCAACTATATTAGAAAAATATTCAAATTTCATATAATTTCATTTAACAATAGTAAAAACAATTTTTAAATTTGATTTTTAATCAACAATTTACAATTATAAACTATAATTTATTTTACATATTTCGTACTACTACTTGAAAAACATAATTTAAAATTATTAAAATTAATCATGTGATTTACACAAATGTAAAAAAAGAACTTAAATATTTAACGGAAGGTTGTTGGCCGTGAAAAAAAAAATAATTTTAGCTGCTAATTTATAAATAACATTGCTTTCAAAAGTTCATTTTTTTTTTTAATTTTGATTTTTGGTATAATAACTCTATTTGAACTCATATTAAAAATTATTATTAAGGTAACTGAATCTGTTCTTGTTTTTTAACTATGACGGCCGGTATGTGTTTGATTTGAGATGGCATGTATTTACAAGAAACGTTTTTCACAGGATTTGATAAAATTATGGTATTCCTTTCTTCATTGTACACAGGTTTCACGTTCATGCACTGAACCTCCAGTGGGCTTTCAGGTTGATTTTCTTCCAATTGAACCTCTTCCACGTAAATCATATCTGAAATTCCATCTTCGTTAAATTCCATTTGCTCTTCTTGAATCTCACTAACTTCTTCTTCCAAAATGGGTTCCATTTCCATGACTTCGGATTTTCGCCGATTTTTACGAAATATGGTTCTGTAATTTATGCTCGAATCTTTTAAAAATATTCTTCTTTTGATCACCAGTCGAGAAGGACTATTATTTACAGCAGAAGCTTCTTCTAAAGTAAGTTCTTTATCGCGTACGTGCCTTGCCAAATGTCTAATGACGTCGTTTCTCTGTCTATAAGATTTATGGCAAAACTGAAACAATACAAAAAAAAAAAATCATTATAAAAACCTTACAGGAAACGTTTAATAACTTTCGATTGTGCTAATTTTAACAAACCTCGCATTGAAAAGGTTTTTCACCAGAATGTCTCAATTTATGATAAATCAAAGAAGAATGTTTTGCAAATTTTTCCTGACAAATGTCGCAGGTCATAGGTTTGATGTGAAGGTGAGCTCCGTTTATATGATGAATTAAATTTTGTTTGCTAGCAAATTTTTTACCACATTTCTCGCATTCCTTTTTCAATATTTCCATTTCGAAAGGTTTCAAACCGTGATCCTGTTTCATGTGAATTCTTATTTTGTTTTCGCTATTGAAAACTTTATTGCAAACGTTGCATTCGATATATCGATACACCGGCAATGATTTCAAACGTGCTATTTCCTCATCTTTCATTTCGTGTATCAATTTAAGATGAGCTTTCAACGAAAACATGTCGGCAAATTTTTTATCGCACTGAGAACAGGGAAATCGAGAATCTTGTTCGACGCCTTCTGCATTATGATCGTTTTTCAAATGTTTATTCAATGCGATTGCACAACTGAAATCTTTCTTGCAAAGCCAACAAAAAACTTTGTCCTTTTTTTTCTCCGGTTTGGGCTCTAATTTTTTACTATTGTCGTGTACTTTCAAATGTATTCGCAATCCGTAACTGTAGCTAAAAGCTTTACCGCAGTATTGACATATGTGACGTTTTTTCCTATGCTTTGTAATGTGACTGAAAAACGAAAGTGGCAGCAGTTTTTTACCACAAATTTCACAGATTTTCTTTTTACTTTCATCGTGTTCTCCCAAATGACTCTCTAAAAATCTTTTAGCTTTGAACTTTTTCCCACATAATTCGCATGCCCAACCATCTAAAAATAAAAAAATTCACATTGAATGTTTATCGAAAAAACTTTAAAAACAGAAAAAAAATTTAAAAATTTCAATACCTAATTTTTTATGTTCTTCCATATGTTTTTCTAAACTTTTAACGCAGCACATTTTCCCACAAATTTGACAGAGAACATTTTTATTATTATTATTTAAAGAATATTCTCCTTTACATTCTAAAATATGAGAATTGAATTCAGATGATGTTAATGTTTTCTTACAATAACAACATTTTTGTAATATATCATCATCATCATCATCATCATCTTCAAAAAATGTTTCAAATGTTTGTTTCTCTTGAGCATTTATGTCAAAAAACTCGTGAAAAACTTTGTGATTTTCTTTCAAATGAAGAGCAAGAATAAATTTATATTCAAATTCCAAATTACAAACATCACAATAATATTTTCCATCCTGATTAGGTTCTATTTTTAAATCATTATCCTCACTATCCGACTTTTCCAATTCCCATTTAACGATTTCAACCAAATTTTTATAACTTGATTGACTCGAATTTGAATCTTCGGATAAGGCATCGGAAAAATAAGAATCTTGTTCATCAAAGTCTTTTTCATTTGTTAAATTGACATCATTATCATTTTCTAAATATTCTTCAGAAGAATCAAAACTTAAAATTGTAGTATCATCATCATTGATTTGTTTAGGCGATAAATTAAATTTTCTAAGTTCAAATTTTTCACTATTATTTAAATTATTATTATTAACAAATTCATTTTTTTTATAAATATTTTCTTCATAATTTTCTTCTTTTATATTATTCTCAAAGAAATTGTTGTATCGATGGATTTCATCTTCATTTTCATTAAATATTAAACATGTTTCATCATTTCCATGTTTTTCATAAGTAAATTCATTTTTATCATTTTCTCCATCTTTTAAAAATAAAACAGATGAAAGTGGGATATCTTTTTTAGAACCTGCTATCGTTTTTTTTTTTATATGATTTTCATGATGTTTTGTGAATAATTTAATTCCTGATATTGTAACATTACATTCTGAACAAATGAATAATTGATTTGATGTATCAAGATTTTCTTTTTCTGAAGAATTTAAATAAGTTTGTTGAATTATTTCATCTGATGCTCTTATGTCTACCAATAATCCGAAACACATTTCAATTTTAGAATAACAATAATCGCAACAGTAATTAGATAAATCTTCAAATTTTTCCTATAATGAATGAGATATTATTCGATAAGCCTTGAATTAAAAAAACTTTGGGGGGGGGGGAAAAGAAAAAAATGATGGCACTTACATTAGAATGTAAAATAATATTTAATTTTCTTCCAATTTTTGTTTCTGCATTATCATTATAATCATACAACAAATAACCATTTTTATTTCGTATATCTTCGTCGCATAATCTACATGATATTTTAATTACATTTTCCATTATATGTTATTATTTTTTGTAAAATTTACAAAAATTCATAATGTAAAGTGAGAAATAAAAAAATATATGTTCGACATCGATTACAATTATCTTTATGTATAAAATAATTGACTAATAATACTCTGTAAAAATAATCATCAGATAAATAATTTACTCGTAAATAGGATTCAATTATTTAATAAGTAAAAATAAATGATGAGATAAGGATAAATATATTTCGAGTAATACTAACTTTACAATTGTTAATTATTTTGTAAAAAAAAAAAAAATTACTGGTTACTTAGAATACTCTGCGAGACATAATAAATTAAATAAAACTTTTAAATCTGAGCTAAGTAAATAACTTTAGAGATGCATTATCTTGTTTGGAAAAAAAGCATAACCGTGCCCATATTTTTTTGGTTGGCTCCTAATAAAAAAGAAATTAATTATTTCAATAAAAGTTTCCTTTACTGAACTCATTTTAAAATTAATAATAACAAAAATGTAACGAATTAAATCAACTAAGAAACCGTTACCACTCAAACCACAGAATAAAACGAACCTTTACCACAGAGAACTTAGTTTTTTTACATCAAACAAAATGTCGTCGCTTTTTCTTATTGCCCGGATACATGAAAACAATACAATCGTGGCATTAGATAATTTACCGCATTTATTTAAATTCTTTTTTTTTTTTTTTTTATTGTCCTAGATATGATAATTTGAAATAAATGTTAAAATAAGTTTAAAAGATAGAGAAAAAAAAAAAAAATCAAAAATAGAAGACAAAAATTATTTATATTAAATCAAAAATTACCAAAATATAATACATTTTATATCACCTAAAATAACTGCAAAGGCTGAACAGAGAATTTTAATTACGATATCATCAGACACAAGCATTTTTTTATTTTTCAAAAAAAAAAAAAGAGCATTTTTTTTTTTTTACTTCGTCAATCATTAAAAAAAAAAAAAAATTTTCTTAATTATTACACCTTGAACTAAAATAAATATTCAAACATTTAAAATTAGAATTTAAATGAGAATTTTTTTTTATATTCATAACAACATTCAGTAATTAGCATTTAATTCATCAGATATGCTCACATCTCATTCTAATAATTCCTTCCTTCACAAATCTTTTATACTAATTTTATTTTAAATCGAGGAATGTTATCATCATCATTCCTACTATGAATATATCGTCAAAAAATAATCACAACCACATTAAATACATATAAAAAAAATTACGTTTAATATATCGTTTCATAAAAACCACGTTTCGAAACTTTCAATTAAACTTTAATGTGAAATTATACTGAAAAAAATATAATAGGTCCGACAGAAACAAAAAAAAATCACTGAAATCACCACGCCACTACCAACATTAAAAAAAAAAAAAAAAAAAAAAAAAAACTACAAAGAGCAGATGAGATCTAACAAAAAATAATTTTCCCCCTATGAATTACAATTTGAGTACAACTATCATTTTGTCTGTTGTCCTGGAACCGAATATTGTGGCCTAAAATTTGTGAAATTTGGATTTCCATAGGCGCCTGGAAGTTGACCACCTTGAAATCCGTGTGGAAATGGACTGCTCATTGACCCTGCACATATAAAAAAAAAAAATTAGTCGCCATTTTAAAATCTATTCGCAACAGCTAATGGTTAATTTGTAAATTTGAATTATTCACCCGGACTTGTGAGAGTTGTGTTCGTGCTTGTAGTGGCGGCAAGTCGCGATAGTATGGATCTTTCCGACATTTGTAACCTTTGAGCAACGGGAGGAATTCTAGCTAGTGTAGCCGGTAATCTCGACACGTCCGATTTCATGTCCGACAGCAATTCTTCCAATTGATTTAAAACCTTGTGCAAAACTGCGTTCGCGGGTTTGTTCCCGGCTAAACTTTCTTTCGATAAATGTTGGTGAGATTCAGCAAGGCATTCGACTTCGGCAAAACGAGCATTGAGAGACATCGCGGGATGATTGGGATCTTGAGTCAAATTAAGGTATGCGGCTCTTCTAAGCTGTTCTTCGATTACCAAAGCTTGTTCCAACAGCTGAAAATTTTTTTTTTTTTTTTTTTGTTAAACACGGATTCCCGTCAAAAAAAAATAAGGTACGAATAAAAAAAAAAAATTAGTAATTGCATCTCATCGGGCATACCTTGAAGCGCCTCGCTAAAAATTTATTTTTAATTTCTAAAAAGTTTCCTTTGCCCATGTCCATTTTGAAGGGTTCGTTAATTATAGCAAATCTTATGTCGTTTTGAATATCTTGCCATCGACCGTAGCCGTGAGTGACGATACCAGCGAGAAGCCAATAATCATGACTATAAGAAAAACAAAACACAAAATAATAATAATAATATGCCATTTGCATAGGAAAATCAATGATATGAAAGCAAATTACCGTCTGTGCCAAATTTCATATTCTCTCCCAGGTACGGCAGCTTTTTCTTCGTTAAGCCAAAGTGTGTGAAGTTCGGTAAAACCACCGTCGGCGATGTTAAACATAAATCTCTGTTTCGCTTTCGCTTTTTCTTTTTCTTTGTCTTCCTCTTCTTTTTCTTTCTCCTTTTCCTTTTCCTTTTCCTTTTCCTTTTCCTTTTCTTTCTCTTTTTCCTTCTCTTTGTCCTTGTCTTTTTCCTTTTCCTTATCTTTATCTTTCTCTTCTTTTTTATCCTTTTCCTTATCTTTTTCATCTTTCTTTTCCTTATCAGCTTCAGGTTCTTGTACGACTTCCGAAGGATTGTCGCCCGAATTCGTTACTTCCGTTTTAACGTTATTCTTATTATCGCCATCTTCTTTCTTTTCTACGACTTTTCCTTTTTCATCCGCCTTCTCAACCTTTACATCTTCGTTGACTTCTTTCTTTTCTTCTTTTTCTTGTTTAACCGTTGTACTTTCGTCAGCCGTCACATCTCCTTTCTTGTCTTCTTCCTCGCTTTTTTTAACATTTTCTTCCTCGATTTCTTTTTTGATTTCTTTCTCAGATACCTTTTCTGATTTGTCAATTTCTATCACCTCCGGAGTTTCCTGTTCATCCGTTTTCGTACCTTCCGACTTCTTTTCACCAGGTGCAGGTTTTTCCGCGTCCTTATTTTTATTATCTTCATCTTTTTTTTCTTTCTCTTCTTCTTTTTTCTCCTCTTTCACGGTAGTTTCTGGCGCAGGACTAGGAGCTGCACTAGTGGCAGGCGTGGTTGAATTCGGAGTTGCCGTAGTGCTTTTTTCTTCTTCAGACTTTTTCGGTTCGATAAGCGTTTTTTTAATAGCTTCCGGCATACTATAAAAACCATTTATGTGTTCAAATTCCTGTACCTAAAAGTGTCACAATTATTTAATAATAATAATAATAATAACAATATTATTAACAGTTTTTATTTTAAAACGTGATGGATAAATTTAATATTACTTTTTTCCGAATGAGAGACATAACTCCGATTCGGGTCAAAACATGTTGCCGACTTAAACCTTCTCTAGGTACGCCATCGGCAAAAGCTTCAGCATTATCCGCACCAGGCTCGCATAAATGTCTCATGAATAGACTCACGTAGGCTTTAAAGTTTTTCTCCGACTTTCCACGTAAATCCCTGACAAGCCATTGAGAATTAAATGCATCCTGAGGAGGCATACCGTAACGCATGATTGCATTTAGGAAAGCTTTACGTTGTCTCGCATTAAAACCCAAAACCTGATAAGAAAAAAAAATAGTAAGTAAAAGGTACGCATGTACATATATATATTAAATAAATGTAATAAGAGGCCTTTGAACTGATCGAAATAAGCAACGACAGTTCCTAACTTCTCTTATTTAATTATTATTATTATTATTTGGATTTCATTATCGACAATTGCTTTGTCTTTTAAACAATTTTTTTAAAGTATAAAATCCTAAAAACTTGATAAGAGATAATTTTAAAAAGACCATTTTTGATTTACGATTTCTAAAAAAAAAGGCACAGGTCCAAAACTAAACCTTAATTTTTAAATTAGGTCAAAACGTACCTCTATATTTCCACCCACTCTGGCTAACAAAGGAGGTAAAGGTCGGTCTCTCTCTTCTCTTCGTTCTGGCTTTCGGCGACTTCGACGACTGTTAAGGTCTGAAATTTAAAAAATAGGTTTTGTTACCCAAAAAAAAAAAAAAAAAAAATTAATATCAATGACAAATTCGTTGTGATAAAATAAAATACCATCGTTCTTTTCGTCAAAGTCATCATCTTCCTTGTCGTCGTCGGACGGAGTCGAAAAATCTGAATTGTAATCTGATAGATTTTCTTGCCAGGTCGAATCTTGAGGAGTGTCAATGACCCCACCATCATTGTAATTAACCTGTAATAAAAGTTTTCGTCAATATTACATACCAAGATGATTAAATTCCAGTCGGGAATTCGGCGCCATATTTATTCATATTTACCTGCTTCCTAACTCTTTTTCCCTTTCCTAAAGTTCTTGCTATGTCTTCTTGCTGTTGTTCATAATGATGTCTTAATAACTTGACCCAATAAGCCGGATCCGTATTTTCAGCTTCTTGTTTAATTATTTCCGTATTAACTTCTTCTTCCTGTATTGAGAAATTAATACACATAAATTTTTATTATTAAAGTTTAACTTTTTGTTTGGGTTGTGGAAAAATAAATTATTAACACGTACATCTTCGCCCTCTTTGGTAGCATAACTAGCGACTTTAAAGCTGGACAAATACTCGTTAGCCCAAGATTCCTTTTGTTCTAAACCTTCTTTGGACCGATCAAGCAAATCGGCAACAGCCTTATCATCGTAATGAATAGCTTCCTCTTCCTTTCCTGCATTAAATATTTGTATCAAAACGGTTTATAAAAATCAAGGTACAGCCAAAGGTAACTTCATTTTTAAGCTATTTAATTGTAAGTTGTACTAAGTAAATGAATAAAATCCCTTACCTTCTTCTTCTTTAAATAATTCCTCCGTACCGAAACGTAAAATATCATCTAATTCTTGCTTGGTGAAATTGGTATTTTTACCACCCATTCCGGGTCTAACGACTAAATGCGTCAACATCATTTTTCTTTTGGCAACTTGCGTCACTCTTTCTTCCACAGAGTTTCTCGTGACGAAACGGTAAATCATAACCTATGATGAGCCGTAAATTGTATTCAGTTTGTACATACGTGTAACAATTACATTTAAACTCGTTTTACCTTATTGGACTGACCAATCCTGTGAGCACGTGAAAAAGCTTGAATATCATTGTGCGGATTCCAATCTGAATCGTAAATAATTACTGTATCGGCAGTGGCTAAATTGATACCGAGTCCTCCTGCTCTTGTGGACAGAAGGAAAGCAAATTGTGGAGCTCCGGGTGCATTAAACCTATAATTTTTTCGAGATAAATCGTCTCGGTGCATTTTTTTGGAAAAAAAAAAAAATTGAACGGAACATTATTATTTTAAACAAACCTGTCGATGGCTTCCTGTCTTAAATTTCCCGTTATGCTACCGTCAATTCTTTCATATTTATAACCTTCTCCTTCTAAATAATCTTCTAGCAAATCTAACATTTTCGTCATTTGTGAAAATATAAGAACTCTGAAATGAATGAACACAATAAAATTAACGGTTAATTTACACGCAATTTTTTTTTTTTCTTTGTCCAAATTTTTATAACGACGTTTACCTGTGACCCTGTTCTCTAAGTAATTTCAACATTTTGGACAATAATATTAGTTTTCCGGAAGCTTTTATCAATCCTTGCAACTCGTAAGTTCCGTTTGCAGACAGAGGAGCTTCTTCGGCAGCAGCAGAAAACAAATAAGGATGATTGCAACATTTTTTCAAATCCATCATGATGTTGAGGAGTGAAACTTGTTGTCCACCTCCCTTGGGATTTAAAGCTTCAAAATTTCTAGTTAAAATCCATTTATAATATTTTTTCTGCATCGGTGAAAGTTCAACTCTTACAATGAATTCGGATTTGGCCGGCATGTTCTAAAATTTGATCGAAATGTTTTTGTATTTTAGCGAATTGTGAAAAAACCATCTTTCAAAATAAATTGAACATAATTATAAATAATTCATAAATGACTTAAATGACATCTTTTGCACAAAAAAAAATAAAATAAAATAAATAAATAAATACCTTCAAAACGTCCGTTTTCAATCTTCGCAACATATGCGGTCCTAAGAGATCATGCAATTTAGTTACTTGTTCTTCTTTTGAAATATCGGCAAACTCATTTTGGAAAGCAGCTAAATCGCTAAATTTATCTCTGCACATGAAATTTAATAAATGAAATAATTCTTCTAGATTATTTTGCAATGGAGTACCAGTAAGTAACAATTTATAACTAATGTTGTATCCCGCAAGAACTCGGAAAAACTGAAAAAAAAAAAAAAAAAAAAAAAAAAAAAAAATTTGTTAAAATGACAAATCGTAACAGTATGAAAAATTAAAATAACATTTCAATCTCCTCACTTTTGACTGATTGCTTTTTAATCGATGAGCTTCATCTACTACCAAAACTGCCCAATCGATGGATCCCAAACATGCGGCGTCGATAGACACCAATTCGTAGGAAGTTAGCAACACGTTAAACTTAATACTACTAGCTTTTATTTTAGTAGCTCTACTTCCTCTAACGGCTCCTTCTTCGAATGACAATTCATTCTCCCTAATTACAGCTCTGGAATCTTTATCTCCGACGTAAGTAACGCAATAAAAGTCAGGTGCCCAAGTTTCGAATTCTCGTTCCCAATTTATAATTGTTGACAAAGGTGCAGAAACCTAAACAAAAATTTTAAATGACCCAAATTCCAGAGAGGAAAATTTTTTGTTTTTCTCTTGTGAGATTTAAATTACTAACCAAAAATGGGCCTTTACAATGCCCTTCTTTATACAAAGAGTAAAGGAATGTTATGGTTTGAATGGTTTTCCCAAGACCCATTTCGTCGGCCAAAATTGTATCGATACCTTGACCCCACGAATATCTTAACCAATTTAATCCTTCCATTTGATATTCATGAAGTTGCATACCGGTTGCATCGATATAATCCGGTTGTTTATCCAATTTTTTCGATAAATTTGTAAGAGGTTTTTCTGGCGGGGGAGTGTATCTCCTTCTGTAACGTAAAATTAACATTTAATATATACTCTAATACATAGTATATAATAAATTTAAAAATATTTTTCAAACTTACGGCATTCTAGAATCATCTTCATCTTGCAATTCTTTTGTTTTTGGCTTTTTACCTCTGCCCTTTTTGCCCTTTTTACCATCGGTATTAAAAGTAGCTCTCAAATCAAGATAATATTCAATGGCTTGTTTCAATCCTGGAATTTCTTCGGTTTCTTCTTCCCATGTGGCTTGGTCGTAACAAAGATCTCTCCACTTGACCAAATACAAAGTTCGACCGTCTCGCATTGTTCGATGATTTAAAATTCTATGAACGATCATCCATTCCGGTCTTATACCAAATCTGATTAAAAAAAAAAAAAAAGAAAAATTTTAAAATATACAGTTTGATGTTAATTATTTATATAATACTTTATCAGTTAAATCCGAAATCAAATAAAGAATTTTTAAAACTTACTTATAATATTTTTCTTCCAATAAATTGTCGTTTGCTCCGAACTCTTTAATTTTTTTCATTCTGTAATCGCTATCATCAATTGCCTCATCCATTTTAGGAGGTTCATCCATGTCAAATTTTCTAGTATAGTTTCTGAGCATCAACGGATGTGCGACATCCAACTGAATTATAAAATAATAAAACGATTATTTCAAAATGGTTTGGGTTTTTTTTAATTTACACAGTAAACCGTATAAATACTTGCCTGGAGTTCAGAAACCCATGCACAATGCCAGTAAGATTTTTCAGCCCATTTCACAAAATATTCTCGCAAACGTCGAGGTTGTCTCGGTGCTCTTTTACTGGTGGTCGTAGATTCTTCAGGCGGTTTTTCTGCCGAAGGAGTATCAGCCCAACGCCAAGTCAATATTTTAGAAACTTTACCAGGAAGTGGTTCGGCCTAAAAAGAAAAAAAAAAAAAAAAACGAAAAACATTACGTCGAGCCACAGGGATTAATGGGAATAAAAATTTCAAAAAAAAAAAAAAATGAAAACTAACCGAACATCTGGGACATTTCCAATCACCGTCGGGAATTTCCGACAAGGGAGGATTCAAACAGAAAATGTGATAGGCTGACGTACAAGAGTCACAACATAAAAGTTCTCCTCCGTCTTTGCACAAACGACAAAACTCGTTGTGCTCATCATCATCTTGCTCTTGAGTTCCCTCAGCTTCACAATGAGGACAAGACCATTTACCTTCAGGAGTTTCTTCTAATTCGGGATCAAGGCAAACTAAATGGTATGCGCGAGGACAAGTATCGCATAAAATAATTTCTCCGCCTTGTTGACAAACCTCACAATAATCTTGATGTTCTTGTTGCTGTAAAATAAAGTTTTTAAACATTCGGGATAAAATTTAAAAGATGTGAAAAAGAATTGAAAGTAAGTAAATTCTAATTCGACCGTAAAGAACTAACCTCCCCACTTTTACTATCGTTCATTTTTCTTTTAGGTTTTCTTTTATTTTTAACACCAAATTTTGTTTTGGCTTTTCGCGGAGCGACTGGTGCGTCGGTATTTTCATGATCTTCCTTTTCTTTAGAATTGTCGGGAGAAGCTTCTTCTGCTTCTTGAAGCATTTGTTCAAATTCAGCATCCGAATCACGGTCAGACGCTTCAGACTTTTTATCAGTCTCATTTTCTTCTTCATCCTAATATCAGCATATCAATTTTTAATTAAAAATTTTACGTCAAAATTTATAAAAAAAAGAAAGAAAAAAAAAACAATTGCTAACCGAACTTCCTCTTTTTCGCTTTCCTAATTTTATTTTTAACGTGGGTACTTTACTATTTTTTTTTGTTCCTTTCTTACTCCTTCCTCGTTTTTTACGTCCCTTTTCCTCCTCGTCATCATCGTCTTCAATATTATCGCTCTGTGAAATATTTAACTAATAAGTGTTTTTATATTTTATACTCAGTGTGAATTATGTAAAACTCAAAAAATTTTTTATCACAAAAAGTTATTTACTTTTATTGCAGATGAACGAGATCTCTTTGGTTTAGGAATGTAATCTGGCTCTGGGTTATCATCGTTTTCATGTTCCTCATTATGAGGATTCATGCATGAAAACTCTCTCCATTTTGCAGCTACTAACATCATTAATTTTGACACTGGAACCTAATATATAAATCGGATTTTAGCAAAAAATAAATAAATAAATAGAAATACTAGAAAATTTAATAATAAAATAACCTTGGGATTATCTTTTGCCAACAAAGGCCTAATGTGCTGCTGGAACAATTTGTAAGAAGACAAATCTTGAAAATCTTGTTCTGTGTATTTAATTTGAACATCTGTGAGTCCAAAGGAAGAACAAACATCTTCAACACTGGGCATTTTAGAACTTTCTTCAGAAGGGGTAGTCGGTGTAGCAGGTACAGAATGTTTGCTACTACCTCTTTTACGTCCTGTCTTTTTAGACGAACCATAATCAGAATCATTTCCACCAGCTGAATCTTCTAAATTAATGTCAGAATCCTAAAAAAAATCTTTTGCATGAAAATCAAATTCATTATTATTGGATTATTAATTATTTTTTTCCACAAAAAACTAACATCTCCACTATCATTCTTTTTCTTTTTTTTCCTTTTTTTATCTTTTTTCCCTTCTGAGCGAGCTTTTCTTTTTTTCCCTTTTTTTCTTCTTCTCCCATCTTCTGGTTCGTAATCATCATCTTCTCCCCTTTGATTTTCATCTGATTCTGAATTTACATTAGATGGGCCTGCAGCAGCTTCTTCGTTATCATCACCTAAAACAAATTATTATTTATCTAAAATCTCGAAAATACTCAAATTAAAAATAATAATAATAATAAAGTTTCAATATTTTTATTTGAAGTTATTAATTACAAAATTACAGGTTGACTTAAACATTAAAAGTTATTTTTTCTAAAAATATAATAAATTATAGACTTAAATATTAATTACTGAGAAATAAAATGGTCTAACCTATTAAACAAGGATAATTATTTGTAAATAATAAAAAAACATATATTTAATTAAAAATAATAAAAAAATAATAATTATTATTTTTTTTTCAAAACTATAAATATCAAAATGATTTTAACAAGTGAATAAAAAAAAAAAAAAAATGTTTATTTTTAGGAATCTTAATTGTAATTTTTTTTTTTCTTTGTTTGCGACCTCCATTTTGATCAGAGGGTCAAAATCTTATGCAGAAAAAATTTTTTTTTTTTTTTTTGCCCTTTTTGTTTTAAACAAATACCCTAAGAAAAACAAACCAGATAATCGTAAAAAAGTTTCAATATAAGAATTTCTTTTTATACAGGAAAAAAAAACAATCAAATAATTTTATTAAAAAAAATTTTTAGTGTGATGTACCCACCAATATTATTTTAATTTAGTTTCATATATAAAAAAAAAAAAAAAAAAAAAATTGTTTTAGTGGAACCGCAGACCAATACAATATTTATAAATAAACCGAATGTTTTAAATAATTTATATAGGGATTTCCAGCAATTTAAAAAACAAGGTAGTTTAAATGACAGTAAACGTAAATTGAACTTGGTAACAATGTTAAATAAACCGGGTATCCGATCAACGTAACTCTAAAATTTTTTTCAAGTAATGACGCGAAATACCCCAAAACAAGAAAACGTGCAATTCTCACCGGCAAAGCTGTCGTCAATGTCATCATCTGAAGCCATTTTTAATTAAACTACAATTTTAAAACACTTTTCTTTAAATCTAATCACTTTATATAATAAAAATAATTAAAATCTAGTTAAATCACTTAATTGAAATCTTAACTGTTTGTGTACGAATTTCAGCTTCAACTCAAACAGTTATGGCCGAATACGTTTAACTGCGCATGCGCCACTCTACGAAATTCTAAATCGTACTTTCATTGCAAACTAATTAATAATATTTGGATTTGTGTCTATGTGTGTACATCCCGAAAATTTTCCGGATATTGGAAAAACTATCGCAAATCTTCAACGATAATCCTCTTTAATTATAAAATAACGTAAATTTTAAAAAAATTCAATTTGTCTTTATCTTTTTGATAGTAGTAGTAGTAGTAGTAGTAGTAAATTCCGCCAAATTTAATAAATATTTAAATACATTTACGTATCAAACATGGACGTATATTTATTTCTTATGTGTAACTATCAAAAAGAAAAATTTCTAAAAAAAAAACATATACAAAAACAATATTATTATTAATATAGACATGAAAATTTATTATTATTATTACAATTACTATATTAAAAAATTTATTTATATATAAATAATTATAAGAAGAAAAGAGAAATGAAAGGGGAAAAGAAAGAATATTATTTATTGGTTTGCATTTTATTGTTTTTTTTTTTTTTTTTTTTACCATAACATAAATTTAATTTAAAAAAATAAATTAAATATGATATTTAGAGAGAGAGAGAGAGAGAGAAAATCATTTCATTAAAAACAAAAAATTTATGACATACGATTTGCAAAAAAAAAAAAAAAACTTGTTAAACATAAAAAAAAAAACGATAAAAGAAGAAAATTACAAAATATTATTACCGTAGAAAAAAAATATATATATATATATTTCACGTAATAGAAAATTAAAAAAAAAATGGAGGAATTTTTTTTTTTTTAAAAGCTTATAAAACTTTTTAATTTAAAAAAAAATATATAAATATTATTTTCCCTAGGCAGATGAACATGAGTTATTTCGAAATGTAACCGACAATAAAAGGGAGGCTGCGTGAATGATCACACACACACACACACGGGGAGCCTCTTTCTCTCTGTCTCGTATATTTTCTGTCAGTTGACAGTGAATTCGCATCACGAAATGATTGAGAAAAATTAAAATTTAAAAAAATAATATAATAATAATAACGCGTTGTAATAATAATAATAATAATTAAAAAAATAAATAAACAATAATAATTAATAAATAATAATAATAATAATAAAATCAGTGACTTTTGTTTTGTTTTGTGTTACGCGATAAATTATTAATTAATTAATTATTAATAAACAATAAAATATTTTTTTTTTTAAAAATTACTTAGTAATTATTACGTGGTATTTAAAAAAAAATTAAAACGTAAATAATAATACTAATAATAATAATAATAATAATAATATTGATTAAATATTTTTTTTCTATTACTTGTTTACATAAAACTTGATGAACTAGTTTTTAAAAAAATTAAATAAATCTTGATTTTTATTAAACTACTTTTTAATTTATTCATTTTTTTAAACAAAAAAACAAAAATTTATGTTAATAATTTATTTATTAATAATTAATTAATTTTAAATAAAATAAATAAATTTTTTAAATTTAATTCGCGCTCTCGCGTTTATTTATTATTATTATTAGTATTGTTAACTTTTTTTTTTTTTGTTTGTAATTTCAAAAAGAAACAAAAACAAAAGTTTTTAAAAATTCGTAATTAAAACCTGGAATTAAAAAAAAACAACAACAAACAAACAAACGTTTCGGTTTTTTTTTTTTTTATAATGATAATGTTAGATTAATTTTTTTTTTATTTAAATTTTTCTTTCGAGTCAAGTACCATCATTTTAAAACTTTTCTAATTTTCTTTTTTCTTTCTTCCCCCCCCCCTTCCCCCCTCCTCCCTTTTAAATTTATTTAAATGTGTTACATAAAGTTTTAATGATGAAAAGAAAAAGTTTTAAAAGCTCCGACTGGAAAAAGGAAATTGCATCTTAAACTTAAGTAATTTTTCGCTTTATATAAATGAAATGAAACAACCATTTTATCCAAGGTTGTTGTTAGCCTTTTCCTTAACAAATCGTCATATTAACAAAAGGTTTAATTTAATAATAAACTTACAAAATCTATTATTATTATTATAATACACCAACCAATTTTCTCTCTCTCTCAATCAATTATTTAATTTTCTACGTATTGATAAAATCATATTAAGTCTTGTGTGTGCGTTTGTGTGCTATTAAAACATTATTAATTTATTTTTATGAAAAAATAATTAAATTTTTTTATTACATAATTAGATCGATATCAAAATATATATGACGTTATGTACGTGAGCAAAAAAAAAAAATTTTTTGTAAAATGTATCAAGAAGATAATTATATAGTAGTATCGGCAAAAAAGAAAATTTTTGCTACAAATTATACCAGTTAAGAAAAGAAATCGTTATCGAATAGTAGTCCGGTTGTTTAGGTTTAAAAAACAAACGAGTAACAACAATCATAATGTCGACGAATAATAAAGATTTTATTAAAAAAAAATCATTTGAAACATATATTCACGTATTAAATGAAAAAGAAAATGATACCAATTTAGAAAATACACGTTTACTCCACGTGTCGCCGGATGATTTAAATAAAAACAAGGACTCGTCATTAAATAATAAGTTTACGGAAGTTTCTGTTGAAAGTAAAATGATTAATTCATCATCATCATCATCATCATCATCCACTATATCATCGCGCGACAGAAATTTATTAAAAGATGATGACAGTTATTTATTATCGTTGGATATTATGGTAAACGATAAAATTACCGAAAATGGCGAAAAAGAAAATAAACGTGAGACGTGTGACGATGGAAATTTGGTTAAACTTCATGATTTAAGAATAAGAGAAAATCCTATCGCCATTTTAACGGAAACTTCGACACAAACTTTCGATGATTTGCATAAGGAATTTACAACAACAACAACAACAACAATCTCAACTCGTAAATCGATTTCGTTCGAAAGATCTAGAAAATTTTCAAATCCTTCATCGTACAGAAAATTTATCAAATATATTTTAACTGGAATTATTGGAATTTTACTTATAAGTTTAATACTAATATATCAGATTTTTTACTACAAATCAAATTGTAACGGTAAGTAATAAAAATAAATAATTAATTTACTCACTACTATTACTAACCACGTTATCCAAATTAATTCGTTTATTATTATTATTATTATTATTGCTGATTACTCCTATGTAAGTTTAATAATTAATTTTCTTAGAAAAATTCCAAAACATCATTTTAACCTTTTTTCCCATTTTTCCTTTTCCATACGTCAATATTATTATTATTATTTTTTAAATTTGAATTTAAATTTCTAGTTTGGTTTAAGTTATTTAAATTTTCAATAATAGGTTTAATCTTAAATAATAATAATAATTTCATTCTGTAAATAAAAGAAAAACTTTTTTTATAATAATAATAATAATACAAATAACATCAAATTTAATAATTTCATTTATAAAAAAATAATTTTATTTATTTATTTATTAAAAATAATTTTATCACATAAAAATGGTAAATTTTAAATACCTAATTTTTTCAAAAAAAAAAATCGTTTTTCTTCTCCTTTATGTTTAATGAGAGAGAGAGAGAGAGAGAGAGAAAGAAAACTACAATTTCGGCATTCGTCATCGTCGCCCTGGGGGGAAGGGGGGGAGGGCATTTAATTATTATTTTCGATCAATGGTTTCTTCAATGGTGATTTTTCATACTCGTTTTTCGTAGAATTTTTTTTCATGTGATAACATTCTCTGCACACCGCCATGTATTTATCCGTTCCTCCGATCAATTCCACCGCCTTTTCGTTCGTTATCCTTTTCGTGAATCCGGCCGTGTTGTAACACACCATGCAAATGGCATTTAATTTGATTATGTTTTCGGAAAGCGGTACCAATTTCAATATGTCTCCGAACGCCGTTCTCTGATACGTTCCGTCCAAAGCTGCTATTATGACTATTTTACCCACGTTCGCTAGGGATTCGCTGAATGGTATCAAATCTGAAAAAAATTGTCCCTCGTCGATTCCTACAACTTCGTAGTCCAATGCTTTTTTCATGCAATCCTAAAAAAAAAAAAATTAAATTTTTTGATACGAATTTGTTTTTCTCTCTCGACAAGACAATTTTTTTTTTTTTTTTTATTCTTACTTCCAGCAAGGTGCACGATATTGCTGCGAACGTGTTACAATCGTGTGTGGCAACGTCATTTTTCGAATACCTATTATCACCGGCATATTTAAAAACGAGACATTTAAATCTTGCCAATTGATATCTACGTATTCGCCTAATCAATTCCGTTGTTTTACCCGAAAACATGGGTCCGAATATGACTTCGATTCGTCCTTTTCCTCTTAACATTTCATTTTCAATAAATGACGACGCGTGTGAAACCATTTTTCCTTTGATTTCCTTTTCGAAAATGATTTATTTCTCAATACTGTGACATGAATAAAACGTTAAATCTATAAATAAATAAATAAAAAAAAAAAAAAGATAATAAACAAAAACTTTATGGACTTTTTTTCAAAACTTGACAGGAGAAGAAGCGAAACGTTTAACACCATTTTACGACTTGATCCCCCCACCCCACGCCCCCCAAAAAAAATTTTTTTTTTTTTGAAATAATTATTTTACGACTACTAATCAAATCAAAAACTTTAATTTAAATCACATTTTGAAAAAAAAAAATTTGATGAAAGCTTTGAAAGGGTTCAAACAAACGGTTATTCTAAAAGTTCTTAAATTACAATTGGGGGAAGGGCGGGGAGGGGTAGCAGCACGATAAAAGTTTTTCTTTCTTTTACAAATTGATTTTTACATTAAATATTATGTGCAAATAATTTCTTCTTTATTTTACCAGAACTTTTTCTTTTTTCTTATATTCTTAAAAATTTTTTTTAAACTTTTGTCAAACTTTTTCTTTTTCTTTTTTCAAATCGTGACTAAATGATAACAATAAATCTCTGACCTAAAATTAATTATACCTACTAAAAATAAAAATAAAAAACTTTAAAAAGTAATTTATTAGCCATCATAAATTTGACAGCAAATTATAAAGACTTTAAAGTTTTTTTAGATTTTTTTAATAAAAATTCTTTCGTTATACACAGAATTCATTCATAATAATAATAATAATAACAACAATAATAATAATAAGTATTATTTACTTATGTATTTACGAGTATTTGTCCCTAAGGAATCGTCGGGTAGAAACCTGGAATAAATGCTTAAAAACCCCGACAAATAAGAGCCTTGTCGTGTTTAAGAGTGATAATGATAATAATAATAATAATAATAATAATAATAATAATAATAATAATAAATAAAAACACTTTGTAAAAAAAATTTTAAAATCATTGACTATTCATTCATTCATTCAATTTTTTTTTTTTTCTTTCAGTTCAACAGAGAAAAGTTTGCTTAACGGAAGAATGCGTGAGAACAGGTAAGAATTTTTTATTTTATTTATTTATTTATATTTTTATTAAACATTGATCATCTCATTTTAAATTATTAAATTATTCATTATTAACCTTCAGGTTCAAAAAACCTGGAAATTAAAACTAGTTTTACCGTACGAAAAAAAAAACAAAGAATTGTTTTTCCACCCCCTTCCCCTTTCGCCTTAAAATTTATAATAATCAAAAGCCTACATGTTTTAATGATAATAATGATAATAAAAAAGCCCTTTGGTAATCTGTAGGGATTACAATGTGATTCCATTGTTTCAATTTCTTGGCAAAAAAAAAAAAAAAATTTGAAAGAAACACGGTCGTAAAAGACATAAAAGAAGTTCATTTCAAATTTTTTTTTTTTTTTTCTGTAAAACATAAACAATTTTATTTATAATAGAAACAATTTTCTAAAACTATTCGAAAACTAAATAAAAAAAGTAAAAAACTCGTCGTCACACACGCAGAAAAAAAGGTTTTGCGAAAGGCATAATAATAATAATAAAAAACCATTTTTGAAAATTTGAAAATAATTCTAAAATAAATGTGTAAAAAATCTTAACGCAAAGAGAAACGTGAATGTTGAGAATAACAATAATAATAATAATAATAATTTATAAAGCTGACTTTCGTAAAGAAAGGCCAAAGGTCATACTAGGTTAGATTTTATTATAAAAAAAGTAATTAACGAAAAGCGGTATAAAAAAATTCTGTTAAAGTGTACAATTAACGAGATTTTCAATGGAAAACTCTCGAATCCACATACATACAATAGAGAGAAAATTCTTAAATTTTCCTTATTTAATCAAAACATTTGATGAAAAACCTTCTGCAAGAGGTTTTTTTTTTTTTAAAAAATTTTCGAGTGGAAATTAAATAAAAAATTCACAAAAAAAATAAAACAATTAAAACAGTAAAAAAAAAAAAAAAGCAATCATAAAAATAAATAAATAAATTATTTGAATAAAGTAACACGTTTCCTCTCCTCCCCTCCTCTCCCCCCGCCTTTTTTTTTTTTCATTTTCAAATTAAATTTTATGTTATTAATTATCATTATTATAATTTTATTATATTATTATTTATGATGGAAAACGAAAAATTTTTTTTAATCATAATTAAATTCAATCTTCAATAAAAAACACTTTTTTTTTTTTTTTTTACGAGTTGAAAGTAATAACAATTTTCTTCCCTTTAGAATTTTCTCGAGGAAATTTCATTTTCTTTTTTTTTTTTTTTTATTAAAAAATACCTCCTCGGCACAATTAAAAAAAAAAAAAAAGGATTAACTTTTTTTTTTTTTTTTTTTTTTTTTTCCCCAACAACAAATTTTTCTTATTTAAAAACCATTTTGCAAGAGTATTTACCGTAAATAATAATAATAATAATAATAATAATAATAATAATAATAATAATAATAATAATAATAATAAAAATATAATTAGAATTCCGCCGTTTGCTTTTTTCAATTTGACCCTATTAGAAAAACAAATTTTCCAACCATCATCCGACATTTTTCAAAATCTAATTCTAAAAGATAAACAATTTTTTTTTCTTATTAAAAAAAAAAATTAATAATGATAATAATGATAAAATAAATGTCCTTAATTTAAAAATTTCCAACTTTTTGCTTGTAAAAGTTAATTCTCACACTACCATCGAATTTTAAAAGATGGCCTTTCATCATTCGAATCGTATTAAACCGTGAGATTAAAATGTTTTAATTTCAGCATCGTCTCTCCTGTCTGCCATGGATTTAACGGCAAATCCATGTCATGATTTTTTTCAATATGCTTGTGGCACATGGAACAAAAAGCACGTAATCCCTGAAGATAGAAGTAGTATAAGTACCTTTGAAATAATGGCGGATCAACTTCAAGTCATTTTAAAAGGTTAAATAATATGATAAAAAACTGTCTTAACCACACGGAATTGACCATCTATCAATCATTAAATGCCTTTTTTAATATTTTAGAAGTGCTAGAAGAACCTTTTGAAGAACACGAACACAACAATTCGGCTACTAGAAAAGCAAAACTTTTTTACAGTTCTTGTATGAATTTGCGTGAGTACCGATACCCGTTTGATTTTTCACGTTTTTGTCATGAGGTCATGTTAATTGACAAGAGGTTTTTCGTTCAGAGCAAATACGAAAAATCGGCGATGCACCTCTTTAGGCAAGTTTTAAAAAATTTAGGAGGTTGGCCGGTTGCGACCAAAGGTTGGACTCCGCCCACGCTATCCGTGGAAACTTTATTGGGAAAACTACGGGGGGATTTTAACGAAGGAGTTCTTATCGAACAATGGGTCGGTCCGGACGACAAAAACTCTAGTGTACACATCCTGCAGGTGCGCAAAATGTAAGAAGAGGATCTCCCAACCTATGGTATAGGTGCATTATGGGAGTGAAAGGAGCACGTGAACCTCTTACGTGCATAAAAAATTATAGTAAATGAACAGCAATATCCTTTAATGAAAAGAACATTGATAACAAATAATAAAATTTTTTTTTTTATTTTAGCTCGACCAAATGCAATTGGCATTACCAAGTAGAGATTATTATTTAAAACCCAATAGTAACGTCGAATTGAGAGCCTATCATAAGTACATGACACAGATAGCCATACTTTTGGGTGCTGATGAGAAAACGGCTGAAGCGGAGTTGGAAGATGTCATCAAGTTTGAAGTGCGGTTGGCCAATGTCGGTACATTTTACAAATTTGATATAGAATCCAAAAAAAATATTATTTGCTTAACATATGTAATTTTTTTAAAAGGCAACTCTACCAGAAGCTGACCGTCACGATACAAGTTCGATATATCGAAAACTTTCATTAACAGTACTCCAAAAAGAAGTGCCGCAACTTAATTGGAAAGAATATTTATCGACATTTTTAGAAATAAATTTTCACGAGGAAGAACCAGTTGTAACTTATGCTTTGCCTTATTTTAAAGAAATGGGCCGAATATTAAAGAAAACGGAAAAAAGGTATTTTCGAAAGGATTCGAACTCGATTGTCAAAAGGACATTATTAATGCATTATTACTACCTTTTTTTTTTTAGAGTCATACATAATTATGTTATATGGAGATTAATAATGAAAATTCTCCCCCACATGATCGATGAATATCAGCAAAAAATTATTGAATTTAGAAAAATTTTATTAGGAATATTAAGTGAAAGGCACAGGTGGAGTCAATGTGTTGAATGGACAAATAAAAAACTCGGTATGGCTGTTGGAGCTCTTTTTATACGTGACAACTTTAATCAAGATAGTAAGGTAATATCTTAGTTAGTTTTGTATGATTAATACCAATGAAAAGAAAAATATTCTTAAATATTCTTTTCACCCCGATTAATCCTTATTTTTTAATGTATGCTCCATGCTGCAGATCTTAATTTAAATCTTATAAATTAAGAAGCGATATGAGCAATGCAATACATTTATTAACTTTTTTTTTTCTAAATAGGAAACGGCTTTAGAAATGATACATACAATTAGAGAAGCATTTAATGAACTTTTGACTGAAAATATTTGGATGGATGATGAAACAAGAGCTGTGGCAAAAGAAAAAGCAGATTCAATGAACGAAAGAATTGGTTATCCAGAACTTTTGACAAACACAGAAGAGCTGAACAAGGAATATATGAATGTAAACATAAAAATAAAATTTAATGCTTAATAAAATAGAACAACTGAAGCAGAAGATGTAACAAAAAAAAAATATCTTAACTTTTTACTCAAATTTCAATAGGTTTCAGTCCAAAAATTTAAATTTACATAAAATAAAAAAAAATTTTTTCAAACAAACCCCCCCCCTTTTTTTTTTTTAAACAAAATAATAATTTTAATAAAATGTATTTTTACATAGTTAACTATAACAGAAGATCAGTTTTTGGTCAACATTTTAAATGTTCTAAAGTATGATGCTTATCATAATTTAAGAAAACTTAGACAGCCAGTGAATAAAGACAAATGGTCAACAGAACCTGCCGTTGTCAATGCCTTTTATAATCCAAATAAAAATGATATAGGTAAAATAATAATAATAATTATTATAATGGTTACTTTTTGAACAACTTGTAAATAAAAAAATTAAAATAGTTTTTCCAGCGGGAATTCTTCAGCCTTTATTTTACAGTCAGCATTTTCCTAAATCATTGAATTATGGAGGAATAGGAGTTGTGATAGGTCATGAGATTACTCACGGTTTTGATGATAAAGGTAAATGTAATGGGTTTATTATTAACATGATTTCATTAGAAATAATTCTAATAACTCCAGTTTTATACAGGGAGACAGTTTGATAAAGATGGAAATATGATGCAATGGTGGAATAATGCAACAATAAAAGCATTCAGAGAGAGAACCCAATGTATAATAGATCAATATTCAAGATACAAATTAGATGAAATTAATTTATTTGTTAATGGGAGAATGACACAAGGAGAAAATATAGCAGATAATGGAGGACTTAAACAAAGCTTTAGGGCAAGCTATATTTACATTTTTATGTAAAAAATTAATAAATTTTTTGTTAAACTAATGAAAATGAATTCAATTTACTACAGGCTTATAAAAAATGGGTTGCCAAACATGGAGAAGAACCTCTTTTACCAGGAATTAATTTAACACATGACCAGCTATTTTTTTTAAATTATGCACAAGTAAAATTACATGTTGATTTTTATTTTATAATTAAATATTATAAATTATTGAAAATTAATAATTTCTATAGATATGGTGTGGGTCGATGAGACCTGAAGATGCATTAACAAAAATAAGATCATCAGTGCATTCTCCAGGTCCTGTTCGTGTTTTGGGGCCTTTGTCAAACTCATGGGATTTGCAAAAGCATACAACTGTCCTCTAATGAGTCCAATGAATCCTTCTCAAAAATGTTCTGTGTGGTAAATATAATAAAGAATTAAGAAAAAGAAAAAATTTACATAATTTAAGCAAAAACAAAAAAAATCAGTATTTCCTACTTTTTTTTTTTTAGAGCTGTTTTACAATCAAATTTTAATGTCTTTGATAAATTATTTAAATTAAATTGTATACTTTTATTTTTTTTTTAAAAGCAAAATAAATAATATTAATTGTAATAAAAAGACAAGCAGTAGAAAGAATTTGTGTTTGCACTAAAATATTTCTCCTTACTCTAAATGTATTTTTTAAAACTAATAATAGTAATAATTAGTAATACTATTTTGTAAGTTATAACATAAAGTTATTATACGAGTAATTTTCTAAATCATTGGTAATTTTTTATCGAATGAGATCATTTTTAATTACTAACTGAATTACAAATTACAATTAGAAGATTTAAATTTTTCAAAATTCTACTAAAAAAGCTTTAGAAATAATTTAAAACAATTGTACCCCAAATGTTAATATGCAGTATACCCTTTGCAAGACATTTTAAAAGTGTATTAACATTTACAATTATCAACAGCAAAGTTAATTTTATTTTGTAGTTTGACTTGAACATTAAAAAACCTTCAATTTTAAATTGAAATTTAACCATAAAAACATTTTAAGAATGACAACAATATAAATTTTACATTTAAATACAAATGCTTTTAAAATTTTCATTAAAGCTTCATTTTAATTATATAAGGTAAAAGCTAGTACAAAAAAACCGCCAAAATTTTACATTGGTTATGTTAAATAATTTCTAACCTGTAGACAATTATAAATATTTTTAAAAAGTAATTTATAATTTACTTACAATTAGGTTTCTTATTTCAAAAATAAATAAACAATTCAATAAATTATAAAAGATTAAATGAATATTATTTTTTCAACTAATTACTGCAGCACGATTCACACTTCATTCTTTGCAAAACGGCGGACTCCAAAAGTGCCAACTTTTGAAATCCTTTGAATAAAGATTGGTAGCCCTTTACATGTCGTTAATGATATTATATATTAATCTCTAAGAATATTTTTTCATCAATTTTTTTATGCTTATTATTGTCTTAAAATAATTTTAGCAAAATTATTATTTTATCTGTAAATACAATGTAAAATTTCAAGAGTGTTTTCATTTTCCTCAGGAAAATCATAATCTATTTAATGTTTCCATCATAATTAAAGCCAATTGTACAAATGTAATATTTTTCTTTTCTTTGTGCAATCCTATGAAAAATGTAATGAAAATATTCGAGTAAAAAAAAAAAAATTTATTAAGGAGAAAAGAGAAAGTTAAAGAAACATTAAATAAAAAAAAAAAGCATGGGTAATTTCATTATTCCGTATTATGATTCTTGGTAAATTTCTTCAACTGTATTAATGATCACCGCTTTTTTTTTTTTTTTCATAATCATTAAGAAAGTGTTCTAATTTTTTTAGAAAAAAAACATCCTCTTTTTTTCCAACTATCATAATCAAAAAATTTCATTTTTCCTTTTTTCCTTTTTAATAATTAGGCTTTTGATTAAAAAAAGCATTACTTTTTACTTTGCAAAAAATACTGACACACATGAACGAACGATAAATTTGAACCTGTTTTGTAATTTCCACAAACCTCGAATACATACACTTTCCAAAACTTGTGGTTTTTTTTATGAAAAAAAAAAAAAAAATTTTTTTTTAAAATGATATTTAATATTTCTTATTGTTAGGAAAACAAAAGCATTTTCTGTATCAAATATACATATGAGATGATTGTATTTTTGTTTATCATGTAATAAATTTAAAAAAAAAAATTCCTTCCAACAACAAAATTAAATAAATTTAAATTTTGATGTATAAGCAAAATTTATGTCAAAAAGCAAATTATAAAAAACAAAAGACAACAAAATTAAAAATAATTGTCATTACTTAAGCCTAAAAAAAAAATTGACTAAGTTATAATAATAATAATAATAGAGAATGACTAAAATAATTTTTGAAAAAATAAATAGAAAATAAGTAAGAGTTGAAGAATTTTTTTTTCATGGTAAAAAATTTTGAACTCTGTTTATTTTAAATAGTGTAATAAAATTTTTACTTATTAAAATTTTTTTTTTTTTTTTTTTTTTTCTAGAAAGTATCAGACATAATGAGTTAAATATTAGGTATATTAGAGCCTAACTAAATACTTACTTTTACATTAAGTTTATAATAATAATTAAGATTCTCTTAAACTAGCAAAAAAACCGGCGAACCTTGAATGAAGGTTTTCATGTCCATGACCGAGACCCTTTTCTCTTTGTTAAACGATTCATGTATGTAATAAAATAAGAAACGTGTTATTGCTCTTAATAATTACCGTTTTTTTTTTTTTTTTAGTTTTTAAATTAATTTTTAATACCCGAAATTTTTTATTTACCGATTTAAATTCTTTTTTTTTCGAGTTAAAAAAAACTGTACGTTTATTTGAAAATTAGGACTTAAAATTTTTTCTTTTCATTACGCATCGTATTCGATTTAAGGTATTCGAAAGTAAGGTATACCTAACTAGAAATTATTTATTTTTAGGATTATTATTATTATTAAAATAATGTGATTATTTTTTCTATTTAAATATTTATGTTTTTGGGGAGGAAAATAAAACACGTGTATATAAATATAGGATGTAAAATTGAAAAAAAAAAAAAAAAAAAAGGGTAGAAATTATTATTTTCTTTGGGCTTAATCAATAAGACTATATATCTTTTCATGCGCAATTGTGATTTAGTTCGCGCAAGCGCAAATCTGACTAATGACGTAATTTTACCTAGAAGTCAGATCGGATTGCGGTAGACTGAGGTTACTTAAATATATTTTCTTTGCTTTTATTTTCCTTTGAATTAAGTAAACTAAGTATTTTTACGGATTTTGATGGTTTGTGCCATTCGTTATTAATGTAAATCGATTTATTTTTAAAGTGTTTTTCAAATAAGCTTTTAGTTTCCTATACCTTATACTAACATTGAGTAAATTGATTTAATAGTTAAAATGGCAGTCGAGCTATTATAAATTTCAAAAACGCGAATTCGTATCATTTTGTTTGTCGTTTTGTATGAAGATTGTTTTGTGTACTCTGCATGCACGGTTTCAAGTTCCAAAATTTTAAAAGTGATTATTAAATATTTAAGCGACCATGAATCAGTCAATAGTTGGCGAACGAGAAATAGCCGCCGAAGACAGTATTAAAGTAGTATGCCGATTTCGGCCCTTAAATGATTCAGAAGAAAAAGCTGGATCGAAATTTATTGTTAAATTTCCATCTGGAAATGATGAAAATTGTATTACCATTGGTGTAAGTTGATTTATTATTATTATTATTGCTAGTATTTTATGCCATATATAATATAATTGTTAAGTCACATCAAAATCCTTATTTTCTAAAATTTTTAGATTTTCAGTAGTTTTTTTTTATTTTTATTTTAATTAACTACAAAATATGCTATTCGTTAAGTTTCCTGATGTTTTATTTTATCGAGAAAAAAAACTATTAATTTGTAATTCATAACCTGTCAGAACAATTCCAAATTAATTACTTATTGTTGTAAATTATTTTGACAAATCAGACAAAATAATTATATTTTAATGAAATACAAATATATATAAATATTTTTCTGTAAAAATTTTATGCAGTAAATGTTTAAAAACTATACCTAATGTCAAAAATTTAAACTCATTGTCCTACATGTTTTTATGTGGGTCAAGCAGACATATTGTTTCTTATTTCTAACTCATAGAAATAATATATTTTAAATTTAAGCTTTTATTGAATTATAAAAAATAAGATCTTTTTAATTCTTCATCATTTTTAAAAAAAATTACTTGGAATAAAATGTACTTTGGTTAGTTTTATTGTTCCAACAAAGAGTCTTAATTTTTTTTATTGTTTTGACAAAGACAGCATTGTCATAAAATTTTCCTATTAAAATAAACATTAATAATAATAATAATCTTATTCATAAACTTTATTTGATAACACTTTTTTTTTTAAAAATGCTTTTAGGGAAAAGTTTATCTATTTGACAAAGTATTTAAACCAAATGCCACACAGGATAAAGTATATGATGATGCTGCCAAATCGATAGTTACAGATGTATTGGCCGGATACAATGGAACCATATTTGCATATGGTCAAACTTCGAGTGGTAAAACTCACACCATGGAAGGAGTATTGGGAGATTCTCAAACACAAGGAATCATACCTAGAATAGTGAATGATATTTTTAATCATATTTATCTAATGGAGGAGAACTTGGAATTTCATATTAAAATTTCTTATTTTGAAATTTATATGGATAAAATTAGGGATTTATTGGATGGTAATTGAAAAAAAAAACAAATTTAAACATTTACTTTGCATTATCCATACTTTTTAAGTAACTAAAGAATAATCATTTGTAAAATAAAAAAATAAGCTATAGTTTTTGTCGGAACTAATCGGTTTTAAATTTGCTTTCAGTTTCTAAGACGAATTTAAGTGTGCATGAAGATAAAAACAGAGTTCCTTTTGTAAAGGGTGCAACTGAAAGATTTGTAGCCAATCCTGATGAAGTTTTTGAAGCTATTGAAGAAGGAAAAGCTAATCGTCATGTTGCAGTTACCAGTAAGTTTACTAATTAGTCTATTCATCAACAAAAAAAAAAAATTTTTACTTTTTCGATACTTCACTATTCATCCTTTCTTTTATATATAATTTAATTTATAATGTTTTAATTATTATTATTATTTTTTTTTTTGTATTTTAATCAAATGGTTTGCTTTTGATCAATATTTTGTTTCATTGTAGTTCTTTTTAGTATACAAATTGATTAACTCATGAGTGAGATAAATCGTAATCACTTTTGTGTTCATAATTTTTTTTTTTTAGTATTGTAAAAATGTAATATTTAATTTTCAGATATGAATGAACACAGTTCTCGATCTCATAGCGTTTTTCTTATTAATGTGAAGCAAGAAAATTTAGAAATTCAAAAAAAATTATCTGGAAAGTTATACCTTGTCGATTTAGCTGGTAGTGAAAAGGTAAGTGAGACAATCTCAGTTATTTATTTTTGATATATTTTTTCTTTTTGCCAATTTTATATTTTTATAATAATTATGACTTGCCAAAACTTTGCTTAATTTGCTTTTCTGGCTAAATAAATTTTTTTTCAATAAATTTAATTTAATTTTAGGTTAGCAAAACTGGAGCAGAAGGTGCTGTGTTAGACGAAGCAAAAAATATCAATAAATCTTTGTCTGCATTAGGTAATGTGATATCAGCTTTAGCAGATGGAAATAAAACACACATTCCATACAGAGATTCAAAATTGACTAGAATTCTTCAAGAATCGCTTGGTGGTAATGCTAGAACAACAATTATTATTTGCTGCTCTCCAGCCAGTTTTAACGAAGCAGAAACTAAATCAACATTAGAGTTTGGAAAACGGTAATATGGCTAATTTTTTGAATTGAAAATAATCGATTGGTTTCAGACAAAATTTTTATATGAAATTTTTTTTGCAGTGCAAAAACTATTAAGAATGTTGTATGTGTAAATGAAGAATTGACTGCTGAAGAATGGAAAAGGCGGTACGAAAGGGAAAAGGAAAAAGCAGCTAAATGGAGAGCAAAATGTGAAAAATTGGAATTGGAATTATCAAGATGGAGAGCCGGAGAAACTGTTAAACCAGAAGAACAGGTTAATCTTCAAGAGCCGTTGGATTCGACCACTCCGGTATCTGCTTTGCCTGATGGCAAGAAAGGTATGCCAATCAAAAAAAAAAAAAAATGAATGTCAACTGAAGAAATGTCGATTTGAATGATGAATGTTAATTTTAAAAATATGATTTTAGGTCCCATGCCAGCAACTCCGAGTGGTTTGATGATTGGCTCTCTGTCCAACGAAGAAAGACAAAAGTTGGAAGAAGAACGAGAACGATTATATCAACAGTTGGATGACAAAGATGAAGAAATAAATCAAACTTCGCAATATGTTGAAAAACTGAAAGAGCAAATGCTTGAACAAGAAGAGGTGGTGCTCATTTAATTATTAAAAATAAGTTATAAATAACATTTTAATCAAAAAAAATTAATTATCTGTTTTTTGTTTCAGTTAATTACGTCGACAAGACGAGATTACGAATTGTTGCAACAAGAAATGACTCGTATACAGCAAGAAAATGAATCCGCAAAGGAAGAAGTCAAGGAAGTTTTGCAAGCACTTGAAGAATTGGCAATGAATTACGATCAAAAATCACAAGAAGTCGAAACTAAAAATAAGGAATACGATACCATTAATGAAGAGCTTTCTAAAAAACAAGTAATATATCTTCTAGCTTTTAAATAAAATTTTCGTTTTTGATAGTAAAAAAAAAAAAATTTTAACGCTTGTAATATTTATTTTAGACTCTCCTAAATAATACTTCATCTGAATTACAACAAATGAAGGACATGTGGACTCATCAAAGGCGAAGAATCACAGAAATGTTGACCAATTTATTGAAAGATTTAGGAGAAATCGGAGAAGCCATCGGTACTTAAAAAAATTCAAGAAGACATCTTTGGTTTAATTGAGTGTTTTAAGTGTAATAAAATGATAATGATATGTTTTTAGGAGGAGACGGAGATATGAAATTAAATCCTGATACGGTGGGAAAAATAGAAGAAGAGTTTACCGTTGCTAGACTCTACATTTCTAAAATGAAAAGCGAAGTTAAAAATTTAGTTCAGAGATGCCAGGGTTTGGAGGCGTCCCAAATCGATTCCAACAAAAAAGTAATTACCGTTATAATTTTTTATAAAATTAACATTTGAAAGTCGTCCATATTTAAACTTACTTGAAACTTTAATTTGTACTTTTAAAAGGTATCGGAATTCGAAAAAGATTTGGGAGAATGCAGATTGTTGATATCGCAACACGAAGCTCGCATGAAATCATTGCAAGAGTCCATGAGGGAGGCTGAAAATAAAAAGCGTACGTTGGAAGAAGAAGTAGACGCACTCAGAGAAGAATGTGCTAAAATGAAAGCCGCGGAAAAAGTTCAGACATTGAGTACTAAGGAGAAAGCCGAAGAAAAGGCTGAAGCGACTAAAATGAAAGAAGCTCTCGAAATTCAAATGGATCAACTACGAGAGGCACACCAAAAACAGGGTATTTCATTTCATTTTATCACCGTAACCTTTTTTTTTTTTTTTTTTTTTTTTTTTTTTCGGTAAATAATTTATTAATTATAATTTGATTTAGTTGCTGCATTGAGAGATGAAATTGGACAAAAGCAAGAATTAATCAACGAAGTCAAAGATCAAAATCAAAAGTATACTTTAGCGCATCAACAATTGCAACAAGATTACGAAAAATTAAAACAAGAAGAGCAAGATAAGAGTAAAAAATTGCAGGAATTAATGTAAAAAAATATTTTTCGATGCTTATACTTTTCGATGAATGTTTATTTCGACTGGAGATAAATTCAAATATTTTTATATTTCAGTTTAACGAATGAAAAGAGAGAACAAGCAAGAAAAGATTTGAAAGGACTCGAAGACACGGTCGCGAAAGAATTGCAGACTTTACATAATTTACGTAAATTATTCGTGCAAGATCTCCAAACTAGAATTAAAAAGGTATAAAATATAAAGGAAAACTTTCACGGTTCCTAAATACTTTTGGAGCTGAATAAAAAAAAAAAAAAAAAAAAAAAATTTATCATCTTGATTTATTTTTTTTTTAGTCTGCGAATGCCGAAGATGATGAAGACGACGGCGGATCTTTGGCACAAAAACAAAAAATTAGTTTCTTAGAAAACAATCTTGACCAGTTAACTAGGGTTCATAAACAGTTAGTCCGCGATAATGCCGACCTTAGATGCGAACTCCCCCAAATTAGATAAACGACTAAAAGCTACTTTAGAACGAGTCAAGGTAAAGCTGGAAAAAAAAGGTTTTTTTTAATGTTAATGTTTTAAAAATTCAAAATTTAATAAAATTTTTTTTTTTTTGGAAATTAGGCGTTAGAGGTTGCTTTAAGAGAAGCTAAAGAAGGTGCAATGAAAGATCGTAAACGGTATCAATTCGAAGTAGATAAAATTAAGGAAGCCGTAAGACAAAGGAATTTAGTTGCCAGGCAAAGACGAGGAGCTAGTGCACAAATAGGTATATAAAAATTTAAGAGGAAAATTTACAAAAGGTGTGTTGTTACAAACGAAAGATTTTAATCTAATTTTTTTTTTTTTTTTTTTTTTTTTAAAATAGCTAAACCAATACGTGCTGGTCAACATCCTCCGAGTCACATAAGTCCGGGAATTCGTGGTGGACAACCTGTAAATAAAATTATAACCGATGAGGAAAACGTTACGGAAAAAAAACTTATTGAAAGTTGAACGCTTTAATAATAATCAATCAATCAATCCCCCAAAATTTTTAACTTACACAAAAAAAAAAAAAAAAAAAAAAAAGAAGCAATTTCAGCCAAAGCTTTTTAAAACAGCTTAGAAAGGATTAGTTGTTGCTGGAGATTTGGGGTTTTTAAACGACTGTACCGACCATATATATGGAAAAAAAAAAAGTCTGCTTGAAATACTTTTGTATTTGAACAATTTTGTGGGCTTTAATTATTATTATTATTATTATTATTTTATTTGTATTTTTTTTTTTTTTTTTTTGGCTGAGAAGAAATTTTGTTTTTTTTATTTATAATGTAGAGTTTTGCAAAACCATAATTGGGGCTTGCTGGTCAATTTGATATATATTGTATTAAAAATCCCCGTTGAAAGGGATGGGGTGGGGGAGGGGGAGGGGGTGGGAAAGGGGAAAAGTGCTTATTATTAGTTACCCTCGGTTAATTTTTTTTTTTTTTTTTTTTTATTACAATTATTAATTTATATTTTACGTAAGGAGAAAAAAGTGAAAACTAAAATAATTTTTTTTTTTAATTTTATTATTTTATTATTATTATTAT